AATTCCTCCTTTGAGGGAGGCCTGTCTCTAACGGAAGAGCTTATCGCTTTCGTTAAGCAGTGCTTTCCCGGAATTGAAATTGTGTAAATGGCAGACTGACTAAGGCATTGCTATATTTTCTTTGTACCCTTTTAATGAATAATCGAGATCTCGATTAAAGGGACGCTGACCATGTTAACCTATAATTTGACGAATGATTTGCTGTTTATTATTTAGTTTCACGGCCGTTAAAAAATAGATAAGTTAATAATTAAAATTAAACAAAAGATGAGATAAAAAAGTCGATTAAAAACAAATGAAGCCGGGGGTTCGATTGTTCCTCGAGGATCTCAGGGTAACTTCAGAGACCCTGGGATAGTTTTCGGTTAATCATTGAAGTATATTCGGAGCTCGACGCTCTTCGAAAAACCATCGGAGTTGTTTTGAATTAAAAAAACAGACGTTGAAATATTCCGGCGGAATTCCGGATTCCGGCTTTTCCAGACTACCATTTCAGCAGATTTTTTTTCGAAATCACTTGACCTAAGGTCAGCTGTGACTGGCCATCAATCTTCACCTAAGATGCGAATCGCCCAATCCGGCCACCAATTGCGTGTGGACCATTTGATCCTGTAGATCCCCGAAGGAACAAACATCAGCCCGCTCCTTGAGATCTTCTATAAATAACATAACCCCTTCTTTTTCTTGCTGCAAGCGTCGCGCAAACACCTTTGAAGTTTTCCTTGAACTTTCGTTAACGTTAGTGAAAGTGCCTTCCTCACTTGACAACTTGAAATTTTGATACGCGCCTTAACTAACAGCTCATCTAGCAGCTCATCTAAATAGCTCATATCGCGAGATCCACTGGTTCCAATCATCTGGTTTGGGATTGAAAGTCGCTGGTGGAGGAATATTGAAATTCGCTGCTGCGGCAAAGCATCGTTCCTGTTTGTGGCCCCTTGTGGCTTGTTCCCTGCGAGGAAATTGCTTCTTTAGTCGCGTTTACATACAATCTTACAACCTCGGGGTGTCGAGGTGAGGTTTCTCGAGGTTGCTGTTGCGCTTGCAAATAGGGAGTTTAAGCACAGGCGTCCCAGGCTCACGTCCTGTATGTATTTATTCATGAAAGCGTCACGCGTTGTGTTATGCGGTGTTAGGCTACGCGAGGATGTAGGGAATGATTGTAACCGGATCCCTGCGTTTGCGCAAAGATTTCTGAGATCGCCATGGGGAAAACATTGCAGCCCGCTTGAAAGAAGTGTATGGCGAAAGGCAGTTTCGATGTTCCGCAGAGCAACGATTTTTGAGAGAGATCAACGCTTTTTCGCCGCAGTTTTATGATAGATGGATTAAGATAATTTAAAGACAAGGTAGGTTAAGTTTTGGTGGGAAGTACCCCAAATGATGTTTTAAAGTTTACCGATAAACTTGTCTCCTTGCGTAAGGTCTGTTGTCAAATCGTCATCGCGTAATGGTCTCGGCATATCTCAAAGTTAGTCACAAATCGTTAGGAAACAACTCATTTAAGGCTTATCACATATATTTATGTATGTAGAGCTTGTATTCATACTTGTCGACGTATTAAATAAACAACTTACGACGTCTGAAAATATACCTCCTTAAGGGAGAGAAGTCGTCGTGTCAACGTTATAGAAGTGTCTTTTAAACCGAGCTGTTGCTCCTTGAAACGATGGAATAAGCGATGAAAAACACGAGGAAAGCCTTGGGTCAAGCGATAGCTTGTTTGAGCAAAATCCAAACGTCTTTGAGCTGCCACTTTTCTCCTTGAGATCCTTGGAGGATGTGTCGGGAAAGGCAAGATCACGGGAACTCCGGCAGAAACTATAGACATATATTCAGTCGTGCATCGCTTTTTAAGCGACCCATTCCTCATCGTAGAAGAAAAGGTTCAGTTTTGAGCCGATTATCAACGCTGGTTCGTTCTCATAGATCACAACAAGTAAGCAATGTAGGTGTTATATTACTTTAGTGTATCACGATAATATTTAATGCTCAAGTATTCCATTTCAATCTCGTGCTGTTTCGAAGCAGCTGTATCAGCGCTCTTTAGTATTACAAAGCCAAGAAAATAG